CAGCAACAAGTAGGTTTGCTTTGCATCCCCAAAAACCCTCAATGATTGCTTTGCACCCCCCAAAAACCCTCAATGAACCCAAACAACCCACCAGGGTTTGTGAATTTGATGCACATGGGGTTAGAGGAGTCCTCCTTGGTGATGACAAGTGTGGGGTCCCATCTCCTGCAGGACCAGCGGGAAGAACAAGAAGCTGCAGCCGTTGCACTACACAGCAGCCCAGCTGTTTGAGAAGGGGGTGCTGCTGGAGATCGAGGACTTGCCGCTCGGCCAGTACGTGGATGGGGACATGAGCTATCGCAGCCCGGGTTTGGCAGTGGGTAGAGCAAAACCACCTGGAGAGGGTCCCTGCAGCCCCATCACACCCTAGGGACAGGGTGAGATGTTCGAGGTGCTGCCACGGCAGGGCTGGGGTTTAGAGGTGGCTTTTGGAGTTGTCCATCTGGATTCATCCATAAGGATGGGGCTGTTTGATGGCTCCAGATGGAATGGCAACGGGCCCAGCATTGCCAGCTGGGTTGAACGAGCCCCCGCCGTTCCCTCTAGGTTCAGGAACGTGATTTTTGACATCATCCCCTGCGAGGAATCGGGCAAGTTCCAGGTGAAAGCCAAGTTCATGGGCATCGACATGGAGAAGTTCCAGCTTCACTACCAGGTGGGTGACCCCTCGCTGTGTGGTGGCTCTCAACGTAGCCATGGGAATGGTGTTTGAGGGAGGTCCAAGCTCATCCTCCAGGGATGTGGGAAGCGGATAAGGATGTTGATGGGTGCTGAGGTTGGGCCAGGCTCTGATCTCTCTCCTCCAGGACCTGCTGCAGCTGCAGTATGAGGGTGTTGCTGTCATGAAGATGTTTGACAAGGCCAAAGTCAACGTCAACCTGCTCATTTTCCTCCTCAACAAAAAGTTCTTCAAGAAGTAACCGGAGCGAGGGGCAGGCGGGGGGAGAGGGAAGGCTGTTGGGCATCCCAGGATGGGAGATGGATGAGAACTGCCAAAGGGAACCTTCAGGGAGAGCATCCTGGGACCGAGTGGTCCCTCTGCAGCAGGGAGAGCTGCCTCAATGGGTCTCCGGACCCGTCATGCTCAAGCTCTTGCAGCCAAAGGCATCTCCCTGGGGAGAGCATCCTGTTTTTCCTGAATGGAGCCCATTTCTTCCTTCCCCACCACGTTCCAGCCCCAAAAGCAAGAGCTTGCTGAACCAAAGTTAGACGTGAGCTTCTGGGCAAGCTGCTTTGGCTCCAATTTCTGCACAAAGCTTGACCAAAGCCTGGCCAACCCCAAAGAACATTGGGTGCCCTCAGCAAAGCAGCTGGGAGCATCTTCTTTCCAGCTTGGTGCTGGAGCAAAGCGGTACCCGAGTATTTAAGAGGAGACCGTCTCCCTCCAGAAGGATTGCTGGAGACTCGGTAAAGGTTTTCTAATAATTCCCTGCTAGTTAAAGATGGGGAAATATCAGGATTGGTTAGGAGGGGGAGTGAGAATGCGGGAATGGGCTCTGGTCACTGCTTCCAAATACCCTTTGGGCTGTTCCCTGGGAAATTAAGGTGCAATAGGAGAAACTAGTTATTTTTAGTTTTCAATTGTGTTTCTCTGCATGCTGTGGCTGCTCTCTCCAGCTGGACCAATGGAATCCCTGGTCCCCTCTGGGGCTGTTCGGAGCCGGCCACTGCCCCACATTGGCACCTCGCTGCTTTTTTGGGGAACAAACCTCGGTTTTGGTAAATGCGAAGGGCAAGGAGTCGCAATCAAGGTCACGGTGCAATGCTCCATGCAAAAGGCAGAGGGAGAAACGGGCTCCCCATGAGCAGGGAAGAGCCGGGTGCTCCGGCCTTGGCCGTGGAGGTGGCTGTTCCCTTCTCCCTTGATTTATTAGTGTTTAATCAGGTTTTAATGACGGAGCTGCTTTTGGAGCAGCAGGGCAGGGAGCTGGCATGCACTTTTTTCCCTCCAGCCAGTCTTGTCTTTGGAAGGTCTGTGTGTCTGTGCGTTTTTAATGTATTTTTCCTTTGTCACGTGAATGCTGTATATGGCACTTCTGTCCCCACCACGCATGCGCCGCGTCCCAGCTGCCAGAGCTGGCTTGGTTTATTCTAAATAAAATATATATAAGAAAACACTTTGGGTGCTCGTCCGTCTTTAAGCCAAGCTCTGCTCTTGCCCCATCCCTGGTTTTTGGGTGGCTGTGGCTCTCCGTGGTCCCTGGCAGCCCCTGGCCATGGGACAAGTGGCACTGGGGCCACACTGAGTGAGGAACCAAAGTAGCAACTGGGGGAATTTAGGCCATTTTTGGTGGCACTTAATTCTTATATAAAATACTATGATTAGATCTCCTAAAGACTATGATTATATCTTTAAAGGAATGGATCGGGATCAAGCTGCAGCATGCTTCATCTTTTAAAAGAGGGCCAGGCTGCAGTTAACCAGTTGGATGCTGCCCCAAAAGAGGCTGCAGTTAACCAGTTGGATGCTGCACTGAAATGAAGGGGAAAGGCTTGGAGAGGTTGGAAAATTGTCTTTCCCTCTCCCTTTGGTCCTGCTCTGGTTTCGGCTGAACCAGCTGGTTGCTTTTCCTGCTGCAGCTCCATGCTGTTCCTTTGCCATCGGCTTGTGAGCTCATCGGGAAAGTGAGACCCTACTGCAATGTTTATCAGGAAAACTTTGGGTTTTGGGGTTTTTTTTGAGGGGCTGTTTCATAAAGACCTTGCAGAATTTGTTATAATCCTGAATCTTTTGCCTTGCAGCCGTCGCCGGGGGCAGAGGCTGTTGCGGCAGCGGGTGTAGCCAACCCTCGCGCGCGCCTGTCCTCTCCGCAGGCAGCTCCGCTAGATGTCAGCGCGAGCCCTGGCATCCCGGCCCGCGCATCCCTACGGCGGCTCTTCCGCGCATCCTGCAAGCCCCAGCAAGGAGCGGGTTGTAGCACGGACATGCGGGAGCCCCCTCTGCACCCAAGGGTGCTGCTCAGGGACCACGAGCCGCATATTCCACGTGTGCAATTGCTAAAATATAATAATGCTCCATAGGGAGAAGGGAAAGCGTTTGGTGCCTTTTCCGGAGGCCAGGATGCGCTTCCAGCCCCACGGAGCACCGTGTGGCGCTGCCGAAGGCGCCGCAGCCCCAGTTGCCACGCAACCCCCAGCTGCATCTTTCCTGCCTCCCGCTCCCTCCTCCTTTCCCAGCGGGATTGCCTCCGGCAGCGACCTCATCCAGGGGCTTGGAGAAAAGAGACCCCTGCCAGAGTGTTCCTATAGGTATGTACACATATAAGTGTGCACGGGAGAGAGAAACAAGGGGTTTTTTTACGCATTTTGCAGTACTTTGAGCCCAGCTCGGTCCTGTCAGGGCGCCGGCACGCGGGATTTGCAGCCGTTAAGCAGCTTGGAGGCAGCTGCCAGGTGCAATCAGGGGTGACAGGCGCAAAGTGACCCTTGGAGGCCACCGGGCTCCTTGGGGTGGGAGAGGGGACCCCTCGGAGCAGCTCGGGGCCGCTGTGGATTTTGGCAGCTAATGGGGAGCAATAGCTGGTGGTGGGGAGCTCGATGCCATGGGGGTGCCCAGTGCTCGCATTGGGGAGCTCGCAGGGATGCGTGCAGCGAAAATGAGCCAAAGTTGCAGAACTAGCCCCAAAACGGTGCCGAGGCATCGCTTACCCCCCTTGCTGAGCACGGCGGAGGGGCGTCACGTGCCGCCAAGACGCTAATCCCGCTCTGCACACCCTCTCCCGGCTAATCCGGCGCGCTCGGACGGCCTCTGGATTTACCTCGGCGCGGCCGGAGCCGGGATTTTCCTCACCCGGCGCCAAGAGAGCCGCTCGCATCCGTGTCCTCCGGTGGCCTCGTCCTTGAGGATGCCCCGTGCAGGGAGGTGCTGAGCCCGGGCTGGTTGGATAGAGCCCGGCGCCGGCATCCGCAGGCCTTCCCGCGCGCGAGATCCAGGAATCCCGGGAAAACGAGCTCTCGAGGTGGGATTCACCCCAGCGCGGTGCCCGGAGGTAGGTGAGCGCCCGCAGCCTCCCCTGGCACGGCTGCATCCCGGCATCGCAGCGCGAGCATCGCCCTTCTCCGTGGCTTCCTTGTGGGAGAGGGGGAAAAAAGCACAAAGCGGAGCGGGGAGGAAATAAGAGGGGAATGTTTGCCGACTGTCTGCTGAGTGTTGTTGCTGTTTTGTTGTGTTTCTGCCGTTGCCCGGGCAACCCCGGGGAAGATGTGCCAGGCTGGAGCATCGCTCGGGCATCGGAGCGCTCCGGCAGCGCCGAGCGGGACCGGCCTCCGGAGAGGCCTCCGTGGGGTTTGCGTGGATGTGGTTGCCCCCGTGGCTCCCGTGGCTCTATGGGACAACGGATTCGCCTCGTTCATGGGGAAAATGGGCCCCAAAGGCTGTTTTTCCATGTGCTGGGAGGACCTGGGACACGGGTGCATCCGCTTGCGGGATGGGGAGATTCCCAGCGCATCCGCAGCCAAGCAAGGAGCACCGGGTCTGGATGGCAGGAGCGGTACCGAACACCCCGCAGGCATCGTGGGCAACCTCGGCACCGTTGCTGCTAGCCAAGGGCTCGCGGGGAGGCTGGGGGGACTCACTCAATTCCCTTTCCCTGGGCACCCACAGGGTAGCGGCGCCCGTTTAATTAAGTGGCTTAATTGCCCCATGGTGCTCGTTGGAAGCCAGACCTCGTTTGGGAAGCGGCAGCTTGTCCCATGGGGAATTCTGCCCTGCAGGGGGAGGGAATTTGCTCCTAGCCACAGGATCAGCGCCGCTGTGCAAAGAAACACATAAAATTCCCTCCACGCTGCATAAAAACTGGACGCTGGAAAAAAACTCCAATTTGGCTGGATGAGGGTCCAAAAAATCCCTGCCAGAGTGCATTAACCCCTGTAGAAGCTCCCAGCTCCCGTTTTGGAGGGTTCCCTGGTGCAAACCCAGGTGTCGGGAGCAATTCCTCCCGCTCCGGCTCCTTTCCCAGCCCGTGCCCCCGCCCCCTCCCTGCTTCCAGCCCAACGGGTGCAGCCGAGAGCGGGAACAGGTCGAGCAGGCGCTGCCCGGCCGGGGCGGAACGGGGAGATTCCTCCGGCGAGGGCGCAGCCGCCGCGACCCTCCGGGCCAAAAAAATCCCTTTTTGGTGCACGGTTTCCTCCAGGGAATGAGTGAGTGAGTGAACAGGAGCGGGCAGGTGCCAAATCTTGGCTGGATTAGCCAAAGAGATCAAGCAGTGCAGGGATTAGCGAGGAAAACGGAGCCCTCCGCATGCGGATGCGCGGGAGGCCGGAGGGGAAGAGCGCCAGGCCGGGCGCAGCATCTCCATGACCCCTGGAATAAGCACGTTTCCTTAAATCGGGAATCCACTGCTTGATCCTGAGTCTGGATGCGGATGCACAGGGAGGTGACAGCCAAGGGGTGCTTTGGGGACAACCCATGGGACCATCGCCGCGGCCAAGCACGCAGGACGGTTGCACCAAGCCCGTCCCTCCCATCCCAGGAGGCAGCGAAATCTCCAGCCCCGAAACCTCCCCACCTCATTTTTGGGGGGGTTTTGGGTGAATTTCCCTCCCGTTCACACCCACGGGTTTTGCTCTCGGGGCGGAGGGCGGCCGCACCCCTGCGCTGGGGAGGGGATGCGGCCGTCCCCAAATTCCAAGGCATTTCGAGGGAAAACCCTTTTGCTCCAAAATCAGGGGAGGAAAAAAAAAAAAAAAAAAAAAAAAAGGCTTCGAGCCCATCAGCTTTTCTCGATCCCAAATTCGGTCATTATTGTGTTTTTTTTTTTTAATTTTTGGCTTGCAAACTCTCTAAATTGTCTCCCTGTCGTCAGCGCATGAGGGAAACGAATGGGTGCAAAGAGCCTTGGCCGGCCTCGCGCATCCTCCTCGTTAGCCTGACCCTTCGTTACACCCGGCAGGCTCTGCATCACCGCCGTTGCCGGGGCGA